CTTACCTCTGTGGATCCAAAGTTGGTATCTTCAACAGTGATGTCCCATCTGCCTTTGGACCCAAAGGCCTCTCCATTCCCTCCCCAAAGCCCCCATGAAAGCTGATCTTCCTCTCTCGCCCCAACAAACTCCAACCCCAACACTTTGTTATTGAATCTCACTCTTTCTACCACCCCAAAGTGCTTGGCATAAGACTCTATATATTGCAAGACCTGATCATGGTTGGGGAACTCCTCTGTTACACTCTCTGGCCATGGAAAGTCTGAGAATTGATAGGCATCTTTAGGTGTCTGCAACTTTGTGGATTCTATGGTTTTAGTCCAAATCCCTCCTATTCTTCCTTTTGCTTCGAAAATTATCGGGTCGAAGCCCCTTTGCATCAGATGCTTGCATGCAATGAGCCCACTTGAGCCTGCTCCTACTATGCCCACCCTCTTCTCCATCTCTCTCTCTGCTTGAGCCTGTAATGGCCTCTCTCTCCTCGACTTATAAAGTGAACTCCCTCTCTCTCTCACTCCGTTTGTCTCCACTTTTGACGTTGACTCTTTGATCGTGTATACTTTTTGATCGTCTGGACTGTGTTTCCTCTGAAGAAGATTAACTCGAGAGAATTTTTTATCTGAAATTCTAGAAACTATCTCTGAATCATTATATTATTAGTTTTTTTTTGTGGAGAAAATTTAGATCTTTTAATTATCCTGTTGAAATTCGGTCTCAGTTGAGGTTTTTCTATAGAAACTATCTCTGAATCATTATATTATTAGTTTTTTTTTGTGGAGAAAATTTAGATCTTTTAATTATCCTGTTGAAATTCGGTCTCAGTTGAGGTTTTTCTATCGCGTTGAAAGTTGGTCCCGAGGGAATCTAGGACATGCTCCAGCGGGTGCACATAAACTCTTGGCTTTAAATATGGGGTCGGGCCAGCTGGTATTTCACGTTCATCAACATTTCGACGCGTGTTTCTGACGTGACGTCGTGATAGTTATAGATTAATCTATTTTATTGTTTTTATTTTTTTATTAATGGAAATAATAGATTAATCTATTTTTATCTGTATTACATTTTATATATAAAACACGATGCAGCAAGTGGCGCATAACAATTAAATGGCTCTGGCCCAGGTCGACCTTTATTAGTCGTGGCCCTGGTCCAGGTGGACAATTATTAGTTTTTCTTTATTTTTTTTGAATCTAGGGTATTAGTTAAAACTTGAATTTGGTGTTTTCTAAATCTAACATTTAGATATCACCTTCAAAATGTTAGATTCAATATATAGTTTTTTTAGTGTATAGGAAATGCGATTTGAATTTAAGACCAGTTAAAGAGGTGTAGTTTAGTCAAATGGAAGGCTTTAAAAAATCTAGGGAAGGCTCAAATAGGAACCGTCCGGTTAGATTGGAATCTGTCATTGGGTGATTTTGGTGATTTGGTCGGATATTTTAAAAATAAATTAAAAAATATCTCAAAAAATAAAGGTATTTTTTAATGTTTTTCATCATTTTAACAAAGATTGGAAAATATTTTGCCCATTAATACTTATTGGGTATAGTTTCTATAATGTTGCAACCTTAAACAATCCAATTAAAGCACACCCCGAAATTTACCATAACAAGTAATTTTGTTGTACAAATTATTAGGATTATGTCAAAATCTAGTTTCATATTTAATAATAAAATTTTAAACTCTAAAAATGGTTAAAATCAAGTAGATCTATAAACATATGCAAAATTTTGAATATTGACCGTCTAGATAATGTGTTGCAAGATGCACTATTTTTAGGATTTAAAATCTTTTTTTTTTTAATATAAATTAGAGGGTTTTTCAACATTAAAACAACCTGTTTCGATAGATTTTTTATGTGCGCCTGTAATTCTAGATTTTAAGGTTGCAACCTTAAATAAACTTTTTCCATACTTATTTTTACAATTTCCCATCTTTTTTTAAAAGATTCAAAAATATCCTTCGGTACAAATTGATTTTTTTATCCATTTTTCTGTAATTTTCAACTTCATTTGAATGCACTTTGTTTAATAATTCTTTAAATATAATTTTCATTTTTTAAAGATTTTTTTGCATTTGTTTTTTTTATTTTGACATGTTTTTGCTAGGACTTGCCATATTAGGCCGGCTTATAGGTTACTCAGTATAGGCATTACGCTAGTTTTATTTTTTACAAATAGATCAATAAGAACATGGATGGAAGCAGATAGGAAATGTAATTGATCACAGTTTAAATAAGAGTGTGACATTTGAAAGAGTGGAATAAACAACATGATTAAGATAGGTGACTCAAATAGTTGGAATAAGGTTCAGATGATGATAATGATGATGATGATGATGATGAGGTTATTCTATGAAAGGTTATACCCCGAAATTTAGAATGCTAAATTTAATCCTACATTGAGTTTTACTTGAGGAGTAAATAGATAATATGCTCCCTCATGAGTATAAAATCTTTTCGACTAATTAATGATACTTTTATGAGGTCTAAGTCTAAGCCTCCAATATTTTTAAGGGTTGATTTTGAATATTTTGGACATTGTCCTTTCCTCGTGCCAATAAGTAAAAGCTTTGCATAGAATTCTCCACAACATCTAAATTATTAAAATGGTGTGGAAGTTTTTAATCAACGACTAAGGAAAATTCAGGAAAGGCGCCGGGTCGTGGTGGTAGCACCCGGTTTTCAATCTTGTTGACACCACCTCCTTACTCTTTCAAAAACACTTAATTCCCTTTAATCTATTTGAAAAAAAACGATCCGGTTTTATGCGACCAAGCCTTCATATGTAGAAATGCAGCCGTCTTAATAAATCTATTTTTGAGATGGGTTTTGGACTTAACTTTTAAAGACATTTAATCTCTAACATGGAGATCATGAATATAAAAAAATAAATAAATTTTAAGAACTAAACATAGTTATAGAAAACAAATTTTCCATAAATCCTATAAACACTATATATAAGGGACAAATATTATCTCAAAAAAATATCTTTGACGGGCCTTAGAACAAAAAATAGTTGCTATTCTTCTTCGTTGTTTCTGATCAACTCTCAATTGCAATTGCAGAATTTGTTCTACAATGTTTGCCAATTTCACCCAAGCCCAACTTTTACACACAGAACGTGCGCTCTAAAGAGAATAAAAAAATTGCTTCCAATTTCACCCAAACCCAATTTTTACACACAGAAGCATGCGCTCAAAGGAGAATGAAAAAATTGCTTCCATCAGAGATGGCACACCTGGATCAACAAGGATGAGGTATTGTATTTGCACCAAATTTTGAGAGGAATCATAAAGTTGATTTTGAGAGGAATCATAAGGTTGAACTGTAGACAAACTATTTACATCTAGCACCATATTATACTCCCACATAAGCATGTTACATATGTACTCCCTCAGGCAGAGGAGCTTTCTTATGGAGATTTTTTTTTTCTTATCTAATTGTTTGGTATGCACTTAAGAGTCAGCAGATGATAACTTAAATAACAATAATAATAATAATAATAATAAGGGTAGATTTGGAGTTCTTCGATGATAACTTAAATAATAATAATCATAGTGGTAGATTTGGAGTTCTTCAATACTCGGGTATCACCCTCCAAAAATTAGATGGCCAGTATTCAATCTTGGGACCTTTTCTTCAGCATATACAATACGCAATATAAATTTTTTATTTTCAGGTTATTTTTGGATTGAAGAAGATACATCCCCAAAAGTTGGTCGTAAAACTACTTCTACCTTGGGTATTACCAAAGGAAGCAAATGGATGGATGTTGGCATAGGAGCATGAAACAATTTCTTTTTTTCTTTTTTTTTTGATGATTCAAGAGAATGAAATATTTTGGCCTTTACATGGGAATTTTACCAAAAAAAAAATTATTGGACAATGATATGAATGAAAACTTAGGTGTGCGGGACATATAATTTTTTTTTAATGTACAACTGTGGTAATCACTGAAAAAGAAAACAAAAAAAATTAAAGGGTGTTTGATTGCTCTAGCGAGCCAACCTCTCTCTCTCAAACCCAATTATGCCTATAATATTTTTTTGTTTTGTTTCTTTAACAATATAAAAATAAATACATATAAATTTTAAACATTTCTGATAATTTTTTGTGGCATTTTTTTAATCAAAATTATATATTTCAAGAAAAATCAGGGCACTAATCCACGGATTTAGTCCTAATAGGCCGGATTCGTTCTTTTGAACACTGGAACAAACTGATACATTGACAATAGATAAACAAACCACTGGGATATGCAGCTAATCCTCAAAACTTAAAAAAGAGATCTTTCCAAGTGAACTTCCCTCCGTAAAAGTGGTGGTGTTAGTTTCTTAAACTTCTTCTCTCTTTCTCTGTCTTCATTTTGTTTTAATCTCTCTAACTTTCTCTATCTTCAATTAATCTATCTATCTTTCTCTATCTTCACTGTGAAAGTTTTATTCAAGAGAATTAGGAATGTTGAAGATTTGATGTTTTCTACATGCTTTCTTGAACATAGTACTCAGACGGGCCCTCTTCGAGATTAGTTATTGGAGATGCGATGTTGAGTAACATGTTCAAGAAATCTGCGGAAAAACATGAAAACAATCATAGGAATGCATTGCATGTTTGAACATGAAGGCAATTTTATCATAATGTCAGCCACCGATAGTTTCCCAGATGATGATTTGAAGGTATTTAAGCACACTTCTTACAAACAAACTGCTTCAACGATACAGTATCCATATTTCCTGCTCTTTCCTTTGAAATCAATACTGAGTTTCACACATTGCAATTTATTGTTAGGGAAAAGTTTATGTCATGTAGAATTACAAATGCATCTAAAAAATCCATCAGAAAATGTTGTTTTAATGTTGAAGAACCCTCTAATTAATCATCTCAACATCAAGATGTATGAATATGGAAAAAAAAAAAAAAGATTTTGAGTCTCAGAAATAGTGCATCTTGCAACACATTATCTAGACCATCCATTTTCAAGATTTTCATATATTTATAGATCAACTTGATTTTAACCATTCTTGGAGTTTAAGATTATATACTTGGATGCAAAATTAGATTTTGAGACAATCCTCAGAATTTTTTACACCAAAATTGCATGTTATGATAAAATTTGGAGGCGCCTTAATTGGATTGTTTAAAGTTGCAATCTTATAGAAACCCCACCCTTTTGAGGCTCTAGAAGTTCTGCAGGGATGGGCAAAGCAGACAGGACGGCCCGCTCGAAACTCCTTTTCAAATTTTGCATTTGGCAAGGGTGAGGCCGACCCGCTAATAATGTGTTCCTTAATTTTTGTAACATTGGTGAATGATTTACTGAGGAATGAAATGGGGCCACTTTACTTTGTCATCATCGCATTCCCTTGTACGAAGATTGGATCAATTTGTTTAGCAGTTACAGGCACCTTTTGAATCACACAGAACCCACATATCAGAGATATATTGTCCGTATCGTTTTCATGGTTCCTGTATGTTAAGTATTCTTGACTCTCTCTCTCTTTCTTTCTCCCTAGTTTTACTCTTGAGAGAGAGTTTTCCTTAAGCACGTCTTATTGTAATACTTGTCTTTTCCTTATGTAAGTTCTGCTATTTGTGATTGGTTGTAGTATCAGATAGGTT